CATTTACGTGAAAAGGGAAAGACCATCTCTGAATGGAGGAGGGGCCTAAGGGTCCATCTGTCACCATCTTACATGCTGTGATTGCAGCCATTCCCCAACTCTCTGTGATTGGGACTCATGGTTATTAATCAGTGGTTGTTGATCAGTGGTCATGACCTCACAGCCCATTGTTCCTTCAGTGGGCTGGTTTCAGTCATTATGCAAATATCCTGTTTAAAGGTTGGAAACCTGCAGTCAGCTGAGACTGAAGACGTCACCTGATGATGAAACGTTTCTCCCTCTGAAAACGTCCAGATGAACAGAGTCAAGAAAGCTCCAAAACGCATTTAAATAAATAAATACTAAACTCCTGTTTTTAGCTGGTCTTCTCTGAGAATTCTGACATTAATCAAGCGTAACATGAAACCATTTGAAACTCATTTGTCTGCAGAGAAATGCAGTAAATAACTGTAATTTGGCATATTAATAAAGTTTTTTATTGGTACCTGCCGATATTTGCCTCCAACCATTTAATAAAGCGATTTCTTCTTCTTTGTGCCTCCTGCATACGAAAAATAAAAAACAGAAAAAGGAAAGGTAGTAACACCACTGCCGGTTTATGTGTTCAAACATCGTGTTGAACTGGATTAGCACGGTGTAATGTCACTTCCTGTCCACTAGATGGAATCATCTCTCCTACAAGTCGTTGGTCACATGTTGAAATGTTCAGAGCAGACTATATGCAGTACCTCTGTACTTTATATAAAACTGTATAAAACAAAGTACGTAGGAAGATATAAAAAGTGCCAATCATTATGGAAGATGCAAAAACAAAAAGATCGCAAGACTGGCAAAAGTGACACAAATAATATTAAAAACAAACAAACGTGTCTTTATTCTGCACGGGTCCTAAAGAGTCAGCACATTACTGTGACGTACAGTAAAAGGTACAGGAGCATTTTCCGCCTGTGGAAGAATAAAATAACAGGCAGGAGAAAAAACAATAAAAAATAATTATTGATTTTGATGTGATCTCTCTCAAAGACCAAGGAGGTACTCTTAGTTTTATTGTGTTTCAGAGCACAGACAGAGCTCACAGACACCAGTGGATGCATGAACCCCTCACACTGCTGCAAACATGTGAAAACATCACAGTCAGCACACGTCATGCAACAAAAATCTCTTTAGGCCATCGTGAAGCAAGTGTTCACATTATGTAAACTTTGACTCAAAGTACTAAAAAATATAAATGTAAGTATAATGATGAACAT